TGGCAGCTGAGAACACAGTTAAGCTACGTGTAAATGCACACACACACTGGGTCTGGTCCCAGCTGTATGGGATTGATGCTTTTGTAGACGTGTTTGGTTTGAGGCCGTTTTTTGTTTCGCTTTGTCGTTGTCTCTCTGCTGGCACCGGTATTAATGTTGCTATTAGAGATGCAATGCACACTATTGTGTAGAGTTTATTAGGGGTGGAACCGTACACAAAAGTCATGGGTCAGTTTGTGACATGATTTTGGGGTCACGGTTCGGTATGTTTTCAGTACAGCAGGCATGTAACATAATCATTCTTTTAAATTCTTCATCTTCACTGCAGCGAATCATCTATTTCGATCCTGTATCTCCTAATTCTCATTTGAAGGTTTTCTTGTGATATCTCTTGTAACAAACAGCTCAAATAAACTCTTTGATCTTCATTGATTAAAACATGATGTGATCATATTTAATACTGTTGTGTTTACAGAAGTTAACAGATAAAATGTAGTTGTATACTATGAGCAAGAATTTTGACCCTGCCAAGGATCTGGAGCCAAGGAACTACTGGTTGTATATTAACTGTTTGCCAAGTGAGTTCCCAAACTTAAATCACTGACAAGTGATTCGTGGATGAAAAATGATTCAGATCCTTCACTGCAGTAAACATACTAATACCATACAGATGAAACAATCCACTACGACTAAAATGCCTGCATTCAAAACCTTAGTCACGTAAGTTATTATCAACAAAATGTACTTTAATTAAGTACAGAAAGTAAAAGTACCCGTGCAGTAAAATGTGCCCTGTCAGTGTTTTACTATTATATCTGATGCTTCAGGATATATATTGCTGCATTAACGTGTATGCAGTGTAACGGATTTTGACATTAATTGGCCTATTTTTAGGTTGCATTCACTCCAAATCAGGCATTAGTAATGTGAATGTGGGCAGTTTGTTTGGGCTGCGGCGGTGGGGACCACAGGAAACGTTGAAACAGAATCAACTTTTGCAGAACCGCAACATGATGTCACATAACCGGCAATCAGTGGACTTTTTAAATTTAGGTGACACCCCCACAACGTCAGACAACCCTGTGTTTATCACCCCAACGCCATATTTGGTGTGAACGCAGTGAACAAGAAGAAGTCAACCAACTACGTAGGCAATGATTATGAATCTTTGAACTGAACTAAATGTAGTGATTCAAAGTTATTTGTGATTTCCACCTTTAATTTTGGAAATGTACTTCATAAAGTTACTGGGACGAGGGAGTGAAAAAGAAGGGTGCCTGGCGGAAAATAAATAACTGTGAGAACTGGTGAATTTTGAAATAAGTCAGAGGCTGACCGGAAGACAAACACACGCACACACACAGTCACTCCATATGCACATGTGCTGTGTCTCCATTCGCATACTTCCATGTAGTACACTGTGCACACTGAGTATAGTGTTTGAATTTCAACAGGGTAGTGTTGTCTCAACATGCACCTTATTGCTGTTATGCACTTATCGGAAGCTCGGTAGATCAGCTGGTGATAGTCAGACACGGGCATCACGTCGTATCGGCAATAATACAATTCAGACTGATAGATAGATAAATAGATAGTTATTTTATTAATCACGCAAGGGGAATTTTTTTCGCTACAGCAGCCTTTATAGATGCAGGTAAAGCAATAAAAATAACAGAGTAAAAACTAAAAAACAAAAGAAATATCAAATACAAAAATGCACAATATATACAATAAAATAGAATAATATAAAATGAACTAACTAAACAATAGTGCAAAGATTTAACAAACAAACATGTTATAGTTGTGTGATTGATCTGGCCAGTGGTGATTTATTATAAAGTCTAATAGCAGAGGGCAGGAATGTTCTCCTGCATCTTTCCTTGTGACAGCGGAGCTGGATCAGTCTGTTGGAGAAAGTGCTCCGCTGTCCCTGCAGTAGGTGGTGGAGAGGGTGGTCCGGGTTATCCAATATGGATAATAGTTTCTTCAGTGTCCTCCTCTCCACCACCTGTTCCAGGTAGTCCTGTTAGCGGCCAATGATGGAGCCGGCCTTCTTAACCAGTTTGTTATGTCTGTTGGTGTCTCCGGCTCCAATGCTCCAGCAGACTACGGAGAAGTACAGTGCACTGGCCACAACAGACCGGTAGAACATCTCCAACATCTTGCTGAACACATTGAAGGATCGAAGTTTCCTCAAGAAAAAGAGTCGACTCATCGCCTTCTTGTACACAGCGATGATGTTGGTCTTCCAGTTCAGTCTGCTGTCGATGGACACACCCAGGGAACTCGTACTTGTACTTATAATTATTCAAATAATGAGTTATGTCCGACTACAGCATAGGATAATATAATACCTAAAAACACATTTGTGAAGTTCGATTTTCTCCGTTTACGTTCCCACTTCTGCAGCTTCCTCACTTGCTATTTTCACAAGCTTGGCTTAGATGTAGAGCAGGTCGTCTTCTTATCGGAAGAAAGGCGGTTCGATTCCCCGCCTGTATGTCTTGGTCAAGACAGTTAACCCCAAATTGCTCCCGAAGAGTGTGCCATCGGTGTATGAATGTGTGTGGACCTACCTGGACATACATACCTTTAGTCCACCTAACGTGCAGGCATATGCATTTACAGAGCACTTTCACGCTTGTGTTTTGGAATGTTATAAACTTTACAACAACTCATCGATCGAGAAACGTGGCTTAGAGAAAGAAACGTCAACCACAGGAACAGACAATCCCTATAGAACAGCTTCACAGTAAGTAAAATAAGTACATGGGAGTCAGCGCCTTTAGTAGTAGTCACCTTCACTTAGAGTAAAGCCCGTGCCGCTGTCGGAATGGGACTGCGGTGTGCACAGTGTGGCCCTCTGGATGCTCTGTGGTTTTGGCTCGCTGTCTGTGTCGTCAGTGTGGCTGTTTGTCTTGTGTCGAGGTAAACGTGTCTGTGTTAATACCCTTGTCAGCGTTGTTTGTGCTTCTTCATTGTCATTCTGGCCAAAGTTAAGTACTTTTAATTATGCTGCAGCATCCCTCGCACTCTACCACTGCTCCCAGTTTCTTTGTCTTTTCCCTTTTCTCTCATTTGATTCCCCTTTTTTCCTGATTCTCTCTCTCTTTCTCTCTCTCTCTCTCTCTCTCTGTCAGCATCTTCCTCCCTTTCTTCATTTACAATCTCCCACGCACTCCCTCTTTCTCAAATTCCATTTCAGTGTCTTGCTTTGGCAGGACATGCTGAGCTAGTGCCAAGGCAATAATGAGAACTGTCAAGCAGCGACAAATGAACAGGTGAGAGCGACGCAGGGAGAAGGAGAGGGAGAGAAAGAGAGGGACGAAGAGACAGAGGGAGAGAGAGAGACATGAATATGAAGTACTGGCACTGCTGTGACTACTGACAGTCCACTCACACATGCATGGACACACGATACACTCCCATCCCCGCTCTCTGAGCACACATCGCAGGGTTCCGCCGATAATACGCTGTCACGGCCGATACGCACACTGATACTCTGACGTAAATGCTGACCAATACTGATATTTCCTGCAACATTTGACCAATTAAATGTAAAACGTTTTCAAACTTTGAACATTTTAAATTGGGTTTATGTACCACTCATTTGCAGACCCAAAATAATTATCTTTTTTTCACAGTTTCCAGCAATGAGCCAGAATGAAAGCGGCACATTTTTAATTTTTTTTGTTGGTAATGTGAAAGACAATATTAATTTAAGATGACAAAAGCAGCATCTCTATTTCTTTAAAAGCTACTATGGACTTCTATGACTTTCTTTGCTGCCAATAGTTTACAGCCGCCAGCCCACCGTGACTCACAGCGCCGGGTTTGCCCCGGCTGAATTTAAGTTGCTACAGCTCCTCGGTGCGTGTAGCGGCGCTGCTACCCGCCCTCCTCCAGACCAAGCCTCATAGACAGAACATAAAACACTCGTTGTTTTCTCGTTTCTACTTTGGATTTAATCCAACTCAAAGTACTATTGCACATGATGTGGTTATTATCGGACACTTGCTACATTAATAACCACATCGTGTACTTTTTTCAACATTGTGCAATATCACATTTGATTTCATGTGCAATATTATTTTCATTAATCTATATGCAATATAACTTTCAACTTCTTTTTCAATATCATTCTGAACGTCATGCTCGATATAACTTTTCTATTTTAGTTTCCATTAGGCACTGGTGTTAATATCACTTCTTCTACACTTTTACATTATTTATTTACCTCACTCGTATTGCTATTGTGTTCTATTCTGCAATGGTGTTGGTATTCTTTCTTTACACTTAATAATTGTTCGTATATTGTTTATATTTTTTATTCTATTGTTTTTGATGTTCTTATGTTGTGATCTTTAATGAAACTCTGGCACAAGAATTTCCTTCGGGATTAATAAAGTTCTATGTTATCTTATCTCTCTTATTGCAGTACGTGGCTTAGCTCCCGCATCCCCACAGTTTAACACTTCAACGTCATGTTTGTGCAGCTTCTCAACTCAGAAAAAGTTTTTTCCAAATATTTTCCTTAAAAAAAATGGCAATATTTAAAATCTATACATTCAGATTTCTTGCCCGACTGGGATACAGTCGGGGAGGTAGACAAGTCCATACTGCACACAGCTAGTATAGTGTGCCGTTTGGAATACAGCCATATAGTCACTGTATGTGTGTGTGGTTGTGTGTTTTATTTGTGATGTTTATTCGCATCTCCACTGCACTTTTCTAAAGTTACACATTTTTATATTAACAAAAGTGAATTTGACATTATGAAAAAAAAGCTTGAGCATGTGCAGCTGTAAACATCTGGGCTCAGAGGTATGAATGATACAAAAACATACATGAAAACAATGCATGCACTGCTCTCCGCACAGAAACTGGTTATTAAAAGAATAAAAGTGCAGTGAGAGTATATATTTAGCTGAGCTTACCTGAGATCTAGAGAGGTAATTTAATGTCAAATACAGTCTTGGGAGAACTTTATTTAGAGCCTCAGTCTTATTACATTATATGATGTGGAAGTGGGCATCGCACTACTTGTAATGTGTAAAATAGGATTACATATCTTCACCCAAAGCGTGGGAAACATTATAAATATCAGTTCATGAATTTGATTTTGAGATAAACATGACATTTTGTCAATCAATACATTATTATGGCTTACAGCATACACCAGTATGTAACCGTGCATAAAGACACAAAAGCAGCTGTTGGACGTTGTCTGTAGCAGACCAAGTCGGACCAGCTTGTCTCATGTCCAGCCCCAAATGACCAGTCCACCTTACAAGGAGTGTGTTGACCCGCAACTGAGTCAGCAAGTCACTATAATGCATGTATACTTCAGACTCAATGTGCAGGGCTGCCTGTAAGGAAGTCTTCGTAGGGAGGAGATTGGGAAGGATGGATGGGTCGAATGTGGGTCACCATGTACATAAATTACTTAAGATACATATTTATTCTACCCCAAACCAAAACAATATCCTAAAACCAGTAGTTTTTTTTATCTAAACAGGTTCTGCACTGCAGAGGCTTGTACATGCGCTCCGATTGCTCATGTTGCTGGAAATTCGTAGAACACACAAAAATTTTTAAAGAATTATCATATGAGATATCATACGGATCGTACTATGAGGATGCAATGATACATTACATAAAATGCATTCATGCATTGGCGTTTAAATTGTGTTTAACACCAAGAAGTTAAAGATCCAATTTGATGATGGTATCTGGAGTCCATTCCTCTCCTGTATCAGGACACCACAGGGCCGTTATCACAGTGTTACAATGGCCACTCACCACAGGGAGGTGTTTAATCCTCTCAAGCAAATAATTCAGTAGATCAACAAGATGTTGCCGAGACAGTTGAGTAATAGAAGGATGTGATTGGCTGATGGTGGATAGTGTCAACTGTGCACAAAAAACAAGCTGGTAACATTCATTCAGTGTAATGATGAGTGGCATGATGAGTGCATGATGAGTGGCATGATGAGTGCATGATGAGTGGCATGATGAGGGAACACGCTCTCCAGTGTTAAGTGGTCGGTGAGAGAAGAAGTAAAGAAGATGAAGACGAGGTGAGAGGTGTTCGTCCGTGTACCGGGAGCTACCTTGGTGCTGTTAACGCCAGTGTGGGAGAAGAAATGTATGTGTTTGCCACTATATTATTTATATATTTATTTATAAGTTTATTCTATGTGTTTATTCATATCTCTGTGAAATGTATTAATTTACATCTATATTCTGGGACTGAGTTTATATTATACAGTTGCTCAGATAATCATTATAAGCTTACTTTGACAATCTTTATAATCTTACTTTTGTACTCTTTTGTATTAAACTAAGTTCAGGCCCCGGCATAAGTCATACAGTCACTGACATAGGATTAGTCACAGGATTCATGTCTCCATGAAATCCTAAAAATAAGGTAAAGTCCAGTAGGGACTGGCCTCAGTATCACCCCCATCACGCCCGAGGAAAACAGGACGCCCTTTGTGTATGGGCCCGGGGACCAGAATATTTGACTCTTCTTGGGTCGCGGGGACCAGCGAACGGCAGTGATGCTGTCGCCAGAAGTTTGACAGGAGCATAAATAAATAAGGAGGAAGGGAGGGGGGACTGAGGCCGCGGGGAAAGATCCAACGCTGTCATCAAGCAGCACATAGGCCCATGCATAGTAGAAGTACATATACTGGACATTGGACTGCATTTCCTGTTGCGTTAGCATGACCACAGTTTCAGAGATCAGTAGGATCGTCTGACAGGTAGCCCTCATGATATTGATTAATTAGTGAACCAACTGACTATCTCATCGGTCCAGAAGTCCCCCAAAATCCCTTGGGGTAAACAGGATGCATATAGCCTTTAGAAATCAAATATAAAATCCCCCACTGTACTCTTGATGAACGAAATTACTGTTTAGTGAACATTGAGGGCTGATG